ATTGGTTAAATCTCTTCTTTTGCTGAAAAAAGGGGGTTAAATCTCTTCTATATGTAAGGAACAGGTCAACAAAATATCTCTTCACATTTCCATTATTTGACTATGATATTTCCAAATTCCCTGCAAATAAAATATACGACACAATAAATTTCCAGCTAGAATTTTGAAGCCATGCTTCTTCTCACCACTGGTAAAGAGAAATAGGGGAGTAAGTCTCAGCATCAACCCAATTTAGTTAAGCACAATTGATCAAAGGTTCAAAGACACAAACTTCCAACACAAGATGTAATTTCAATTTTCTTCAAGAGTATTCTAATCACCACTAGGGGTCAAATACTCAATCTCTAGAAACGACTCCTGATTACAGACACTTTTGGAGATCTTCTAAATTAACAAGTCAGCCCCACCTCCCAAGTTTATGCAATGTGATTCCATAGCTTAGAACCGTAATGAGGAAAAATCAAATTTTCACGCCTATCAAGTCCAAAAGTTGAAGCATAGACTATATATCACAAACACTTACCATGTATATTTCTTCTAATTTCACATTCAGTATAAACATTTACAAGAAGAATGCCGCTCAATAAGTTGCAAGCAAATAATTGTTACTACCATTTCCTTTACCTTATGACTCCAAGGCCAACATTGTGTGGAAAAATTGTGGCTTTATAGACATTGTTGTGCCCATGGACTGCATCAATTCCATAGATCATGGGAATACCGAGGCGTGTTGAAAGGGAACCCTTCTGAATTTCATTAACCATCTTTACCCAGTCCGCAGCAGTAGCCTTTGGAGCTGGTTCACTTCCTCCAAGACTCAGTACACTCCCTGCCACAATCAAATCATTCACACTTCACTAAACCAGAAAAGGGCAGGCTTTCATTCAACCACCACGACAAAGGCGAATCCAAAATGTTAAGTTTGTGAATGCAGAGTTGCACTGCACCTAGTACTCTTATGCAGCAAAGTGGCGGAGCCAGAAATTTTAACAAGGGGATCAAAAATTTCAAACCTGCAACCTAAAACAATCTCTGAACTACCTGCCTTATGTCAACGGGATTCAAAAGTTCATATATATGTGAATAATTTTGTTTTTACTCTATACAAAAGGGGATTCAATTGAACCCTAGCTCCGCCACCGGTGCCATCAGACTCTCTCTCTCTCAATCCCAAGCAATATATATATGAATTATAACAAGTACTATTAGTACTATGTCTCAATCCCAAGCAAGCGGGGTTGGCTATGTGAATACTCACTAACCATGTTGCTCAATTTAAACTCATCTTGGTGCAATATTATACAAAAAACAAAAAAAAAAAAGAATTACTACTAGAAATCTCGAGATTTTTACTGGCAATTTTATATATATACACATTTATATATTTAAAAAAATCTTCAAATGTATAATTTTTTAAAATTATAATAAACGATACATCTCCATAATGGTAATGTAAAATCTCAAGATTTTTGTGAAACGCTTACCAATGAAGTATTTCTTCATAATATTAGGTGCAGCTAAATGTCTCTCAATCTGGGTCATCTGACCAATTTTTTCTTCAAGACTCATTCTGTTCATCAAATCCCTTATTCTAACATTCAATGGCTGTTTTGGGTCTTTGTACTTCATGTACACTGCTTCAGTAACACCAGCACACAAGAACAACAGCAGAAAACCCATCATAATTGTTGTTATTGCAAATTTCCCCATTGTTAATGGCTAGAGTGCTCTCCACTAGGAGTACATATAAAAGTGAAGAACTCAAATGAATAGCTTGAACAAAAATTAAGGATAGGAACTCAGTGCTACTGCTATCTCAGCTCTATTCAGTAGAACATCAAGTTAAAAAGAAAAAACAAAAATCTATTCCCTCTCTCTTACTTTATATGTTGTTGGAGAGGGAAAATGAACAAAATGGTCTTTCCTAATGTATACGGTCCTTAATGTCACGTCCTTAGTCGTTAACTAAGTACATGTGCTACACTTGATAATTTGCTCACGTTTTTGTTCTGCTAAGTCAGCCTTACTATACTCAAGATCGTTAACAGAATGGTAGAAAGAACACAAGAGAATTGTTAAAGGAACCTTTGTATTAGAGATAACTTGAATTGTTTGCTTGATGAATTACAAATGAATGCCCCTTTATATACTAGTCTCCTAGGGGCTAGTGTGTAAATATTAATTGTTACACAAGTCCTTAATATTTACAAGATAAGGGCTTTCTCTAGAATTCTCTACAAGCCTAGAAGATTCCAAGGACTTTCCTATCAAATCCTTAAGCATCTAGGATCTTCCAAAGGAAATGTCCATACTTCTCTAAAATCTTCTTACAAATGCAAGCATTCCTCCTATGTAAGATTCCACATGACATTAATATATGCCAAATGGCGCCTATGTGGCATCACATGGCGAGTCATCACACTCTCCCCCACCTAATGTTGCGACGACCGCGGCGCAATGTTGCTGCATAAACTCTCGGATCTTATCTTTGAATTGCCATAAATCTTCATATCGTTCCCATGTGGCCTCCTCCAGTGATTGCCCCTTCCAATGGACGAAGAACATAGCGGTGGCTTTTTGCCCTTGTTTTCGCCTGGCCTGGTAATCCATGATAGCCTCAATCTCCCTATCATGCGATGAGGTGATAGTAATAGGCGCTCGACTTGATTGGCCCCTACTCGGATCATCCTTATCTTCATGATATGGCTTAAGCATGCTGGCATGAAAGACTGGGTAGATCTTAAGATACGATGGCATGTCAAGCTTGTTGAGATCTTGCCTACCTTGGCGACTATCTTAAATGGCCCTTCATACTTGCGAATCAGATTCTGATGCATGCCCCGTAGTGCCTTAAACTGTCTTGGATTAAACTTAACCATGACCATGTCCCCTACTCTATACTTCGTGGGACGCTGTTTACGATCTGCAAACTTCTTCATCTTCTTAGATGCCTTATCCAAGTAGGACTTAGCAGTGTCAAGCTGCTCCTCCCATCCTTTGGCCATATGATAAGCCCCCAAACTCTTTCCCTCGAACGCGGCTAGTAATGAATGTGGAGTTTATGGCTTGCTCAAATGGTGTCCGCCCCGTGGACTCACTCCGCTGCAATTTATAAGAGAATTGGGCGATGTCTAGGAGCCTTGACCAATCTTTATGATGCACGCTTACATAATGCCTCAAGTAGCATTCTAGTAAGGCATTAACCCGTTCCGTTTGTCCATCTGTCTGTGGGTGAAAACTAGTGGAAAAGTGCAGTTCTGTGCCAAGTATGTCGAATAATTCTCTCCAAAAGTTTCCAGTAAAACGGGGGTCTCGATCACTGATAATATGCCTTGGTAAGCCCCAATACTTCACCACATTCTTAAAGAATAGCTTGGCGGCTTCCTTGACAGTGCAACCTGGTGTGGCGGGCATGAAGGTGACATATTTGGAAAATCTATCCACAACCACCATAATAGTATCATAACCGTCAGACTTCGGTAGGCAAGTGATAAAGTCCATAGTCACGCTCTCCCATGGACGCTCTGCAACTGGTAGTGGCTCCAAAAGTCCTCCGGGTTTTTGTTGCTCAACCTTGTCCTGTTGACAGACAAGACAAGTCTGCATATAACACTCTATGTCATCTCGCATGCGTGGCCAATAGTAGACTGACTCAACCAAGGCCCTAGTGCGACGTTGGCCTGGATGACCAGCCCACATTGTGTCATGACTCTCCCTTATGATCCTCCGTCTAATGTCTCCACACTTAGGCACGTAGACCCGCCGACCTGTGGTAAGTAGTAGGCCGTCTTCGACCCAAAAATGTCTCGTATTGCCCTGGTTGGCTAACTCGATAAGTTGTTTGGCTGCTGGATCATGTTGCATGCCTTCTTTTATAGCCTCACGAATGTCCCATCTTGTTGAAGTGATTGCAGCAAGCTCGGATTTCCGGCTCAAGACATCGGCTACAATGTTACTTTTGCCCGGCTTATACTGCAGCACATAATCAAATTCGGCCAAGAAATCCTGCAACTGAGCCTGTTTTGGGGTGAGCTTCTTCTGCGTCTAAAAGTAGCTAGTAGCTACATTGTCGGTCTTGACCACGAACCTCAACCCAAGCAAATAATGTCGCCATGTACGAAGGCAATGCACAATAGCAGTCATATCCTTCTCTTGAACTGTGTAACACCGCTCCATCTCATTTAACTTGCGGCTCTAAAATGCTATGGGATGCTTATCTTGCATCAAGACACCCCCAATGGCAAAATCTGAGGCATCTGTATGCACCTCAAATGTCTTTGCAAAGTTAGGTAATGCCAAAACTGGCTCCTCTATTACAGCTGCCTTGAGGTCTTCAAACGTCCTTTGACAATGCTCCGTCCAAACCCATGGCTTGTTCTTCTTTAGCAACTCAGTCAATGGTGCGGCCTTTGCTGAGTAACCACTGATGAACCGACGATACTAGTTAACAAGGCCAAGGAAGGATCTCAATTCAGTTACCTTTATAGGTGCCTCCCACTCCTGGACAACACGTACCTTAGCCTCGTCCATGTGCAGCTCGCCATTGCTAATAACATGGCCTAAGAAGTGCATCTTTGATTGTGCAAACTCGCATTTATCCGTCTTGATGTATAGCTCGTTCTCCCGCAAGACTTGGAAAACCTTCCTTAAGTGCGCTATGCGCTCCTCCAAGGTTTTGCTGTAGATGACTATGTCATCTAGGTAGACTACCACGGACTGATCAAGGTAGGGATGAAAAATCTTGTTCATACGGGTACAAAATATGGCCAGGGCATTGGTTAAGCCGAAGGGCATCACCAACCACTCAAAGGCTCCATATCTCATCACATATGCTGTCTTTGGCTCATCCCCTTCTGCAATGCGAACCTGGTAGTAGCCCTTGCGAAGATCCACCTTGGTAAAATACTTGGCTTGCCCAAGTCTATCGAACAAGTCAGCAATGAGCGGGATCAAGTACTTATTCTTCACTGTGACCTTATTAAGTGCTCAGTAGTCTATGCACAAGCGTAGTGATCCATCCTTCTTCTTTTGGAACAATACTGGTGCGCCAAAAGGTGCCTTTGATGGGCGAATGTGACAAGCATCTAGCAGCTCTTTCAATTGTTTCCTAAGCTTCTCTAGCTCGGGCGGTGCCATATGATATGGGGCAAATGCGGGTGGCTTAGCCCCTGGCTCCAACTCAATCTTGTGATCCACCTCTCGCCTATGCAGAAAATTCTTAGGCAACTCCTCGGGCATGACGTCTTTGTTTTTCTCAAGCAACTTCTCTATACAAGGCGGCAGTGTTTCTTGAAAACTCTTGTCTTCCTCCAGACTTGTGATGATTGCCATGAACGTCGGATCCCCCTTCTTGATCCCCTTGACAACTTGCATAACTGAGAGTTGTGCTTGGATCTGTCCGTGTGTCATAGTCACTATAGGTACCAAGCAAGCTCCTTCTCACTCCATAACTAAGAGATGTTGGAGGTAGGGGTCGATCAAAGTATGACAATGTCTAAAGAACTCTTGTCCCAATATGATGTCAAAGATATCCATAGCGGTTACGGTAAAGTTTGTCATACCTTTCCAAGTTCCCAATTTGACACCAACTCCATTAGCTACCCCACGAGTATTCTGTACTTCGGCATTTACAATCTTAACGCGAGAGTTGGTTGGAGCAATCTTCAATTCTAGTCTCTTTGCGGCAGCCTCAGTGACGAAATTATGATTTGCTCTAGTATCTACCATTGCACGAGCAGGCTTGTTGTTAATGGTGAGATCCACGTACTGATTGCCATTCTCGGTAGGTTGGATAGATTGCTTTGTGACAGCACTGCATAATCCGATCATACCTAAATGTGCGGTTCCCGAACTCTCTCCTTGCGGCTGCTCCTTCCGTTCATGGACCATGGCGCTAAGGCTCTTTAGGTCGGGACAATTCTTGAAGCTGTGCGACCCTCCGCATATGTAACATCCCTTCTTCTCGGCCTGTGCCTTCTTCTAGGCATAGCCCTGACGGCCACTCAACATTTTGGAATCTTGAGTCTTGTCGTATTGTTGTTGTATCTGCTTGCCTTTGCCACGGTCCCCCCCACCTTTGACATTTTTAAACTTTGATTCTTTGACTTTCCCTTTGTCGTGCTTGTCATGCCTAAAATCCATCAATGATTCGGCCTCCACTATGGCTTGGTCTATATTTGCGACTTGTCGGCGTTGTAACTCCTGCTTGGCCCAATTTTGCAACCCGTCCATGAAGTGGAACAACAAGTCATCATTGGTCAGGTTAGGGATTTGAAGCATAAGGGCAGTGAACTCCTTAACATAGACACGTATGCTCCATGTTTGCTTCAACTCTCTAAGCTTACGCTTTGCCTCGTACACGACATTGTTTGGAAAGAACTGTCGCTTGAACTCATCTTTGAACTGATCCCAATTGTGAATAGTACATATACCTTTATCCACGTCAGCCATCTTCCTTATCCACCATAGCATGGCAGTCTCTGAGAGGTACAACACTGCAGTGTTGATCATGGCCTTGTCGTCCTTCACTTTGCCTTGCTTGAAGTAGTTCTCTAAGTGCCAAAGGAAGTTTTCCACTTCTTGTGCATCAGGAACACCTTTGAACATCGGGGGTTTGGGAGCCTCGATCTTGGCCTCCCTCATCACCACAACATTGCTGGCTGCCTCGGTCACGCCAGCACTAACATGCTCTTTGAGTGACTCTATCTTTGTCTTCATAGCATCGATAGTACTCAAAGCCTCCATGAGTCTGCACTTTAAGGCAGTGATGGTTTGCCTTAGCTCCATCTCGGTTTGTGTACGTCCCTCCAAGTCATTTCGGATACTCTCAATATCTTCAATAGTGTTCCCCTCAAGAACGCTAAGGGTGCCTTCCACCTTCCCCAAGCGTTGGCCAAAGATCT